GTCTACGATTTGACTTCGAATAATAATAATAATAATAATAATATAAATTTAATAATGATGAGGAAAGTGGGGAGGATGTAATTTTTTTTTTTCCTGATCTTCTCCATGATGGTAATTGTGTGAGTATTTCCAGAGAGACTTTTTTTTTTTTTTTTTTTTTTAAATCCCTACTCGTTTATTTAAATTATGTGCAAAAGCTAAGTAATAACATTTGATAGTTGTAACGCCTCTCCACCGTCTTATTTTATCTATATATAAAGAGAATTCATTAACGTTACTATCAGATAAGTGACAGTGTTTATTTCGTGTACATACACAAAAACATCCTTAAGGATTTTATTAAAAAAAAATTTTCAAAAATGAAATCGGTAAGTTTATTATCATAACTCTATATCTCTCTCTATCTATTTATCTATCTATCTCTCTCTGTGCTTTTGTTGAACGGTTTTTTTTTCCATCGATTGGATATTTTTGAAAAAACGCGTTCGGTTTTTTTTTTTTTTTGGTAGTGAATAAAGTAAACGATCGTATTTTTTTTTTAATGAAAAACTCTAGGAATGTTTTAGGGGTTGGATGAGGTTGATAGGGAAGAAGGGTTGACGATAAGTTTTTTTTTTTTTTTTCATAACATAAATCTCCAGTAAGTTTTTTTTGCTGGTGTGATGACCGGTTAATTAAATTAAGAATTGATTGCGGTGGATTACTTAACATTTATTTTTATTTTAACCTCTCGAAAAAAAAGGTCTTTCATAACTATTTTTCATAAATATTATTTTACAATTATGTAAATTTATTAAATAAATATTTGAATGGATACGCACACACGCACGTAAAAACGCACGTTTAAAAATAAAAAATTAAAAAATTTGCATGATGGAAAAAAATAATAAAAAAAAATTTTTTTTCTTAACTACGGTTTTCATAACTCCTTCCAATTTTTTTTTTTTTGTTATCTAACATATTTTTTTAATTTTAAGGCGCGTTAAAAAATTTTAAATAATTTTTTTAGGCTCTCGTCAAAATTATTAATATTATTATTCTTTAACAAAAATTTTCGGAGAGAAAAATAAAATTTAGGAGAAAAAAAAAATTTTTTTAAATATAATTTTCATAACTTTTTATGAAAAATTTATCCGAAAGTTTTTTAACAAATAAATCGTGTTATCATTGATAATGTTCCAGGAAATTCTCCAGAACTAAAAAATTTATTAAATACCTTTCGTGAACGTGTTTAAATTTTTTCTTTTTTTTTTTTACTAATTCGATAATTATACATTATTTAACGAAGTTAAAAAATTTTTTTTTAAATGTTACGTAATTTTTTTATTAAAAATAATTACGCAATTATTACGTAATAATTAAAAATAAAACCATCCCTCGAATTTATTTAAAAAAATAAAAAAATGTACCGGTAATATTAAGATGGTGGTAAATTATTATTATTTGAATTTTATAGATTTCATATAAATTTATTACTTATACGATTAAAAAACCTTTTATTACCAACATTACAAAAAGAAAAAAAATTGCTAAATCAGATTCATTACTCTCCATTATTTTATTACTTTAATAATTACGTAAAAAAAAAAAAAAAAGAATCCATTAAAAATTAAACGAAGGTCACGGCTACTATATGTTTCTTTTTGAATGACATAACGTTAATTGATAAGTTAAACATAATTTTTTCCAGATCTCCATTGCTTTGATCTTGGCCGTCGTTGCCCTCGCTGCTGCTGCCCCACAACAACCAGGACAAC